CTAATTGTACTGCTTCAGATTTCATTGTAAACGTATGTAACTAGGACCACAGCTTATGCTATTCAGTAGCCAGCTTAGGACCAACACAAAGCAGCTATCAGTAACTGACCAACTCAAAGTCCCAACTTGGTAAACAACCTCAAAACAATGGGGCTTCTGGCCCTGCTTCATACTTATACTACCAAGTTTTAGAGGCAATTAATGGGACATTTAAAAAACCAGTCACTGCCGAGTTGATTCTGACTCACGGCAACTCCACGTGTTTCAGAGAAGACTGTGCTACGCAGGGTTTTCAATGGCAGAGTTTTCAGAAGCAGATCAGCAGGCTTTTCCCCCAAGTGCCTGGGGGTAGATTAGGACCTCCAACTTTTCAGTAGTAGAGAGCCAGTTAACCACGTGCACCACCCAGGGACTCCTAAAATGTGACGTCACCAGCACATAATAAGATTAAAAAATCTCTTTAAAAAACAGAGGCCTCTTTTCTTGCCATCAGCAAATGAGAGAGCAGACTGTGGCAGCCATGGCACGAGGCGCAGGGCGCACAAAGGGGGCTCTGAGGGGGTGGGCTGCACCTCTGTGACAGCCATGTGTCCTGTCAGGACTGTGTATCAGAATTACCCTTGGCAGTTACTCAAAATGCATATTCCTGGGTCCTGTCCCTGGAGACTCCCATTCAGCTGGTATGAAGTGGGCCTTGGGAAGCCGCCCACTTAGGAAGTTCCCCTTGGATTAAGAGACACAGCAGGCATCCGATTCAAACTGCATTTTTAAATTTGAAATCAGCAGTACAAACATCCCCTCACTCTTTAAAGTACTGAATACTGAAGAGAGCTTTGAGGCATGCCGAACTGTTTCAAAACATTCAAACAACATCAGGAAAACACGGTATTACCGTGTAGCTTCCGAGGACAGAACCAATCTATATAAGGACTGTGAAAAATTGGGCACGACAGAATGACACCATGCTCACTCACCATCACTGCTCAAACGGAGTCCAACGCTGACTCCCGAAAAGCCTGCTTGGCAGCGCAAAAGCGTGTGACCTCTCACTACTGTGGGTACAAACTGCTCACCAGTCCAGGACAGCGTCCCGCCAGTACTAACTGGCTGCCAGCTTTTCCGCCATTGTAGCCTCCCTCCCTGTCCTGGCAGCCATGCTTCTAGAGGATCCGCCTGCTGGCTTTTGTAGCAACTGCTCATTTGTTCATAAAAGTCACAGATAAATATCAGCAACACGTGAATTAACAGAAGAACACCCACAGATGTCCACCAACTTCCCTGAAAGATAAGAAACTGTAATCTCTCCTTGGCAGGACAGTTTCCTCCTAACACTGTAATAAACAGACTCCAGTGGCCACTCAGGAAAATGTGAATGTGAAAAACTGTGTGTGTTAATTACGGAATACAAGCACGTGAAAACTGGCCTCCTGGAATTACAAAAAAAAGAACAGGTTCCAAAAAATCTCCTTCCTGTCACAAACCCTGAACCCAAAGTCAGAGGAGACAGTGGCAGCGTCAGGAATGGCTCTGGAAGCTGGGGGCCCTGGCCACCTCTCTCTCCTTCTCTCCAGGTGAGCAGGGTGTCACTCCTAAACCACCACATGGCGACCCTCTCCACTTCACACCACTACCCCTACCCCCACCCCCAAACACACCCATCCACCTCCAAACATCCCGTTAGTTCCTCCGACTTCTCCTGGACTCCTGCCTCAGAGAGGGCTCCTCTAACATCTGCCGGCCGAATCCCTCTCTCGGGGCACGTGGCCCTCATCCTTCTGCCAGGGACCCTCCTCTCCCGTCTTCACTCGCCACCCCCACTCCGAGCCTCTGTCAGTCTGTAGCCACAGAGGCACCTGACGGTGTGAATCCTGCCTTCACCCTTCTCGTTTGCCACCATACCTGTCATTTAACAAGTATGCCATCAGGAGAAAGCAGGCTTGGCGTGGACAGACTGGGCAGGAATATGACTTAAAGACACTTCCCTCACACACTGACATTCTAAGAGGTAGACAGAGGAAGATAAACAAATCTCCATAAACTGCTGTAGCCACTGAATGAAGTCCCCCGGGAGCGGAAGCCAGAGGGCCTCTTTCTGCCTTGAGAAATCCTGGAAGAGGCAGCATCTTTATTTCGGCCTTGGCAGCCACACTCCTGCTGTTTTCATGCCCCTGCTTCCTCTCTTGCTCCTTTCCAACCCACTCTGCCCATAGGTCCTGCTGGAGCACTACCAAGTCACATCACTCTGATGCTGAAAACCCTGCATGGGTCTCTACTGACACATCAAGGCCAGGGGGCTCTGACGGGCAGTGATGCCCTCTAAGCTCGTCTCAGCCTGCCTGTGCACAGAGCTCATCCACATGTGGGTACATCAGCTCAGGACAACAGAGATGCCCTGCAGGACATTCCCGACAGCCTGCAATGTCCTGCCTCCGCCCTTGCTTGTGTCACCCGTCGCCTGCCCGGGACCACCAAATATGGTTGTCCAGAGAACAAACTGCAGCTGCATGTGGCAGCCCTGTTGCCATCAAAACGCTTCCCATCTTAGGAGACTGTATTTTTAGAAAAATATTTTCTGCATTTTCCACAATGGATGTGTATTATATGTTTAAAAAGTGAGAAAAAATATTACACGTGGGAAAAAATCCATCTACTCTTCAAACTCTAACAGGAAGGCTATTTTCTCTAAGAAGCTTTCACTGAGTTACTCACCAAGATGCAATCTGAGCTCCTCGTTATTCTTGAGACCTTGGACTGTGTTCTGTCTTTAGATACACATCTTCCCATATCTACAGCTGTACCTCTATCTCCCTCGCTCTGACACCTATCATACACCAGGCATGTATTAGAGGCTTTAACCAGATGATTACATTTACTCTCCACCATGAATCTACGAGGTTGGTATTACCAAGGAAGCCGAGGCTAGATAACTTGCTCAAGGCAAAGAGCTAGCCTATGGTTCTTGCAGAGTTTAAATCCAGCCCAGTCTGGCTTCGAAATCTTTCTAACTCTAAAGTACTCAGCAACTGACTAGCTGCTGTTTCCATTACTAGCTTCTACGAGTCAAACATGGAGACAATATTGTGGTCACCTTTGTCCCCACGCTGGTGACAACCCTGGGGCCTCATCCAGAAGCAGGAACTCAAAAAAACGCTGTTTTTTCTTTTACTAAATCAAAGATATATTTCTTGGAAAAAAAGAGTGGGAGGTTGATTATGATGGTGTCCCAGCAGCAAGCCCTGTAGGTTCCAGCTTTAAAATGTATCTCACAGCTCTGCTACCTCCTCAGCTCTACGCCCCACCTTAGTCTCCGTCCAGACTTTATCATCTTATCTCTGGCTTTGCAACTGCTCTCCCTGCTTCTACTCTTCTTCCTGTAATCCATTCTCAGCAGATCAGCCAGTGAGGTGGGACTGTGCTCCTCCCTTACAGAAACCTCCCAGTGGCCTACAAGGCTGTGCAGGATCAGGTTCCTGCCTACGACGCCGGCTGCCTCGAGTCCCCACACCTCCCTCAGGCCCACCCTGCAGCGGCACCGCTTTCTTCAGATCTGTGCACCGTGTCCCCTCTCTGCAGGGAAGGCTCTGACTCCAATCACTGCGTGAGTGGCTCCCTCAAGTCACCTAGGGCTCCCCTCCTCAGAGGCCTTCCTTAAACGTTATCTACAGAAGGACACCCGTCACTCTGTCTCAAACTTACAACTGCAGTAGTGAGGACAGTGAGGAAACAGCCTGCAGTGATTAGTCAGAATCTTATTTTAAACACTTTAGGTGGCACTTTGACAACGCAAAACAACCTTATTTGGACTCTTAAGTGATAAAACACACAAGTAACAGGCTTAGCCACGACTTGTCTGTCAGTCTGTCCTACTGTGGTGGCTTGCGTGTTGCTGTGATACTGGAAGCTTTGTCACCAGTATTTCAAATACCAGCAGTGTTACCATTGGTGGACAGGTTTCAGCAGAACTTCCAGACCGAGAGAGACTAGGAAGAAGGACTTGGCAATCTACTTCCAAAAACAATCAGCCAGTGCAAACCTTACGGGTAGCAGCAGTACAGGAGGGCCCAGTCCCTGGAGAAGGACATCACGCTCGGTAAAGTAGAGGGTTAGCGAAAAAGAGGAAGATCCTTAACAAGATGGATCGATACGGTGGCTGCCACAATGGGCTCGAACACAGCGACAATGTGCAGATGGCATAGGACTGGGCAGCGTTTCCTTCTGTTGTACATCCATCAGGTCACTGTGAGTTGCGACCAACTCAATGGCACCTAACAACAACAACAGGCTCGGGGCCTAGAAGCCCAGGGATGGCTTACCCGTTGCCGTGGAGTTGATTCCGACCCACAGCGACCCTACAGGACAGAGTAGAACTGCCCCACAGGGTTTCCAAACAGTGGCTGGTGGATTTGAACTGCTGATCTTTTGGTTAGCGGCCATATCACTGAACTACTGTGTCACCAGGGCTCCAGGGATGGCTTAGGAGCTCACAGAACCTCTGAAATCACAATGCCGCCATCTAAGCACCTGCGCATTTTGATGGGGAAGAGGTCACAATATCATCGTATTCACAGAGGAGAACATGACACCCAGAAAGATGTAGAACCACTGAACTTGGAAGTTTCACAATTACATTCCTTTAAAAAGCCATGCCTCCACATTGTGTGTGCCGTCTAATTTTAACATCCCCCAAATTCACAGCCATGGGACCCAGAAGGAAAGAAATCCTTAGCTAGACTGATGTGCTGTTTCAACAGAGATCTTTAAAAATGACATTTTCTCCTGATTAATTTCAATAAAAATCAGAAAATGCACATAACTTTCAATAAAAACCAGAAAATACCCAACAGCTGATAGGTATTAACCCATTCAATGAATTAGAAATCCTACTTCCTGACGGGGGAGGGGTATTATTCTGCCCTACCCATGCTGTCCGCAAGCCTTCCGCTTAATCCTGCTTTACCTTTAACCCTCTAGTAATTATTTTTGAATGGTGAAGCACTTACCATAATGTGATTGAAATGCCTGCGGTTTGACAACCTGATTACAGTCGTTACACACCACCAAGTAGAAATCATCATGGGCTGGACAGAGACCAAATATTGGCATGTCTGCAACAAAGAGACAGAGCATCATTCACTCATCTGGTTCTGATCTGATACGAAGCGGAGCTGCCTTACTATAAAGCGCACCAGGACAAACATTATCCCAGCTTAAACATAATTGACGTGGGAGGCCATGAGTATTCAGAGAAAAATCAAATCAGGCTTATAGAGACACATATACAAAGAACTAAAACAAAAGTCCCCTGAAATCCTCAGTATGAGGTAAAACAGACGAATCTATTAAAATGCAAACAATGAACACTTTCCCATAATAAAGTAACTTTAGATGAACTCTTCAGGGTTCTGGGGAAAAATCCGCAATCATATAAAATGCTTCGTAATTCACAAAGGTGCACCATCTACGTTGTGTGGCTGTGCATTCGACTCCAGCCATCGGCCCCTGAGTGCTA